CTGCGAATAATAAGAGAAAGCCCGCAATTTAATTAATCCGCCTAAAAAAATTGCCAAAAGATTTAATGTATCCATCAAATGGCTGCTTGGAAAGTAGTTTTGGTTGATGGGAAAGGCGGGTCACAGGAATAAGAATGGTCAATTTCAGAAATGTATATTTTGTTGGGGGTCTAAGGAAATGAGTTATACAAGAGCTGCTTTTTCACAATAGTGAGGAATACATTTTGATGAAGCGGAACTTTTTATTTGCAAAGCATAATCTCTGTTTCTCTGGTACTGTTTGTAAGATGTGTTTCCTGAGAAACATTTTTCACATCACCGAACAAAAACATTCAAATAGCAATTTCATAGTGAACTTTAGATGTTAAAAATATTTTTCGGAATTGGTTAATTATATTTTTGAAAACAGAAAAATGGACTTAAGTAATAATAATTCATGTTATTTAAGAGAAGACTGATTTGGAAAACATTGGGTTCTTTATATACTAGAGAAATGATCAAAGCCTGATACGAGGTTTCATTGTGTGTCAGGCCAACTAAATCTCTTAACTTTCATATCCACAAAAACACTTGTCAACGTCACTCGGACAATTCCTGGCTACCATTTCGGAGGCAGCAGTAAATTACCCAGCATTCCTCATAGCTTGACCTTCGAAAACAAAACATTGCTAAACCCTTCAGAATTGATACGACCACGTCAAAACTAATCCTGTTGCTCAACAATCATGGCAATATCGTCAATAACTCGTCTATAACAATGGCCACGTAAGTGACGCCGCTACATCAAACACGGCTCAGTATACAGCTTCCTTGTCCTTTAATGCCAATATGGAATCAAGAGCAGTATACACTCGCCACTCAATCCCACGGCTGGGGACCTTTTATCACTGAACTCAGTTACCTGTAAAGCTTTCAGGGCTGTGGAGTTTAACCCTATGGATTCACGCAAGAGCGAAATTCGAGCCTCCAAAGTCTCACAGCCATGTGAGAAATGACAGGCGGGTCTGAGTCGATGTACATTTCTCCCAGGAATAATTGAGTATTTATGGACACAAATATTGGAAATGGACTTGGGATATACTTTGATATCAAACCAAATCTTTTTTCTTGCTTCCAGAGAGGAACAGGACTTGCAGTGTGTGGGGTTCATGCTGCTGAAAGAGTGAATGTATGGCATGAAGTATCCACCAGAATTACACAGGCATAAAACTGCTTGAGTCTTGTCATCTAATTCCGGTGCTGTAAATACAGCCAGTTGTGGAGAAATAATCTATTTTCTGTAGACACCTGTGTAAGGGAGACCATTTTATCTATTGACACCTGTGCAAGAGCAATGAAGTCAGGCCATTTTATCTGTAGACACCTGTGCAAAAGAGACATTTTAACTAGACACATGTAAAATAAGAATAAAAAGATTAGATTCCTGAGAGAATTCAGTGCTTTTACAAACAATAAAACCTGCCATTTTATCTATAGACACCAATGCAAGAAACACCAGATACTATGCAAACCTTGTATTTTATCTGTAGTTTCTACAACAATCTTACTCTTACCATCTCTCTGTGCTAGATTTTCTTGAAGAATTTTTCTTTTTCCTTCAATCTTACTCTTACCATCTCTCTGTGCTAGATTGTCTTGAAGAATTTTTCTTATTCCTTCAATCTTACTCTTACCATCTCTCTATTCTAGATTGCTTAAGGCATCTTTCTTATTCCTTCAGTCTTACTCTTACCAGCTTGTTTAAAGCATCTTCCATATTCCTTCAATCTTACTCTTACCATCTCTCTATCCTAGATTGCTTAAGCATCTTTCTTATTCCTTCAGTCATACTCTTACCACTGTCTAGTAGGATCCTGTCTAGTAGGACCCGGTCTAGAAGGACCCTGTCTAATAGCATCCAGTCACACTGTCTGAAAGTAATGTGTCTAGTAGGACCTTGTCTTGTACCATTCTGTCTAGTAGCACCCTGTCTAGTAGGATCCTGTCTAGTAGGCTCGTGTCCAGTAGGATCCGGTCTAGTAGGACCATGTCTAGTCTAGTAGGATTCTGTCTAGTAGGACCATGTCTAGTAGGACCCTGTCTAGTAGCATTCTGTCTTGTAGGACCCTGTTTAGTTGGACACTGTCTGGTAGGATCCTGTCTTGTAGGACGCTGTCTAGTAGCATCCTGTCAAACTGCCTAAAAGCACTCTGTCTAGTAGGACCCTGTCTAGTAGCATTCTGTCTTGTAGGACCCTGTTTAGTTGGACACTGTCTGGTAGGACACTGTCTGGTAGGATCCTGTCTAGTAGGATCCTGTCTAGTAGGACCCTGTCTAGTAGGATCCTGTCTAGTAGGATCCTGTCTAGTAAGACCATGTCTAGTAGGATCCTGTCTAGTAGGATTCTGTCTAGTAGGACCATGTCTAGTAGGATCCTGTCTAGTAGGATCCTGTCTAGTAGGACCCTGTCTACTAGCATCCTGTCACACTGTCTAAAAGCACTCTGTCTAGAAGCAGACTGTCACACTGTCTCGAAGCACTCTGTCTAGTAGGACCCTATCTGATAGGACCGTCTCTACTGGGATTAACCGTGTTGATCACGTCCTCGTCCAGCGCAGGCAGCAGCAGCAGCAACTTCATCACACGTCTATACAAAGTGAGTCACAACGACAACAATAAAACTCATCATAAAAGCAGACGAGAAATAACGACACTATAAAAGACTTGGTAACACCTGTGTGGTGCATTGTCTCAAAAGTTATCTTCATTGATTTGTTGGTAATTTCCCCTACCCTCCCCACCACATCCCGCCACCATGCAATCAGGAAAGCTGTGCAGTGGCAACACAAACAAAACATACACAACTTGTAATTTCCCTCCAAATTAGAAAATCATGACTGTAAGCCTTTCGATCTCCACCTTTAAAGATGGGAGGGTGAGTTTTTAAAACTCAATGTGAATCTCTCCTGATCAATTGATTATAAAGGGCCTTCCTATCAGATGTCAGCAGTGGGGAACTTAAATTACTTCATGTCGCTCACAAGGTTTAACATCGCTCCACAATAGATGCTTTGCATTTTTACAGGAAAGCATTCAATCACAAAAGTTGTTTACCAATTTGGACCCATTTGACAACCAGGCTATAAGAAGTCAAGTGAAACGGCTCCAGATTGATTACATTTTAAAGCACTGTTTAATTTCTATCAAATGAAGTTCCCAAAACTCATTTCATTGGGTATACTTAGATTGTCCATAGACAGTTCTAATTGATCTAAAATATCATGTGTTGCTATTTCTTTACTGAGCCCCAGGGACATGATGATCCGGTCATCTGAAGTGCTGCATGTCGCTGTGCAGAGTTCCTAAGGCCAGAGACATATGATCCTAGGTTCGAGTCCCAGGTTCGTTCTGATTGTTTCTAGGTTTGTTAGGACCGTTCTGTCTTGTTGGTTTGCCAAAGTGGTAAACATCTCAGACCTGCATCTGGTTTTCCTGGCACTTGATTATTTACAGACTGTCACGGTGTAACTTAAGAATTGCCGTCTGTGGCGTAAACAAACATACGCTCACTTTTGGCCATAGTGTGCTATTTGTAATATTGCTGACTTCAGTGTAAAAGCTGTTTATTCACTTGCACATGTATGTCAACAAAGTGCAGTTTGGGTATCAAGAATGAACAGTATTTCAGTTATACCACAGCGTGTCAGCCTAATGTGGGAAGAAAGCCCGAAGTGATGCAGGTCTCAGATGTTTACCAATTTGGTGAAATCCATGAGGCATGGGTATGGTGCTGACAAACAAACCAGGATTCGAACCCAAAATAATACATTTGGGGCATGCCCAAGGGACACAACTCTGCACAACAAATTGCAGCAACTTAGATGAGTGAGTGAGTGAGTGAGTTGGGTTTAACACCGCTTTAACAGTGTTCCAGTCATATCATGGCGTGTCAGATTAATGTGGGAGGAAAGCCCGAAGTGATGCAGGTCTCAGACGTTTACCACTTCGGTGAAACCCACGAGCACGGATATGGTGCTGACAAACCTTGAAACATAATCGGGGCGAACCAGGATTCGAACCCACAATCATAGGTTACTGGCGTGCCTAAGGGACGCAACTCTGCACAGCGAAAACGCGGCACCTTAGACGACTGGGCCACCTGTGCCCCCGCAACTTAGACGAGGGGGCCACCCTTGGCCCGTTGTTATTTAAAAAACACAAAGTAATTACACTTCACAGAATTACCATCAAAACAAAATACAAAAAACACAAACCCATAACTAATAATTCATAATCAAAAATCTATCCTCCCCTTCATCCTTCAAACTTCAAATCAATTTGTTTCAACATGATTAAAATAAAATCTCACTTCATATTCTGCCAAAAAATCTGGCAATCCTATTAAAGCCATTAACACCAAGAGACAGTACAATTATCAGTATAAATAGGGGAGAAAACTAATTCCAACGGCACTTTTTATCCGTGTTAAAGTGAAAGTACTTGGAGTCCTCATGTAACCCAGTCTGCCCAACACCTGGACAGCTCTCCACACACTTCAACCAGGGAGCTTTTCATTTCGTACACATTCTAATTACTGGCGGGGACCAGAACAAGGTTCTGGTCGCGTTCTGCCTCGTCAGCTCAGAGCAGCCCTGAGCTGTGTAATTCTAGCATTGGATCAGCTGACGAACCCATCCCCACTTCACATGCTCCACAAAATATTCCTCTGCACATAGTTGGCCTACCATCTGGTGGGATCTCATTGATCTCTTCTTGGGTGGGGGAGATCTTAAGGGGGAGGGAGATCTCAGTCTTGGAAGCTTAAGCTAACAAAAGCTTCCAGCTTGCAAATTTTTCTTCAGTTTACTCGAATCATGCATGCATTCTCGGAACTGCCTGCGGAAAACACGCGCATGAACTGCGGCGCTTGTTTGACGCAAGTCTGCATCTGGTCATGTGATTTCACTGCCGTCTTGGTTGTAGAATTCCTCTGTAAACACAAACATATCTTGCTGGCTTACCTTGTGCTGACCAGTGTCCACTCCTGTCCAGTCTTGTACAGATGGAGCTGTTTCTGGTTGTCGCAGACGCCAAAGTACTGTCCACTCGGGGAAAAGGCCGAAGCCAGGATACGATTTCCCCCATTCTCAGTCAGTCTGGAACAGACGGAATAAACTGGAGAAAACAGCCGAGGAATCCATCAATAAAATTGACTGCCAAAACGTGGCTTCCAGAACATCATCAGGCCCTTACAATGTCGAGCAAAGTCAATATCCACCACAAAATATTGACAAGCTTTCGCTCCAGTTTCCACCATGGGATTATACAATTATATAGATTTATTTGTCAAACAGGAATTAATTTGGTTCATTTCTGCCAAAATCTATACCAGCTTCACTGATAAGGAGATATCACACCAGCGAGGATTACAGCTGCCTGTGACACTAATAAAATGATTTAAACATACAGGGACAACACTGTACGTCTCCTGACATACAGAGGACGTACTTAAAGAGATGGATTAAAGTCTGCATCGCTCCTCCACCTTGCATCATTAATAAAAATACATTCTGACACTTGAGACGGTGGCACAGACTCACCTAAACACTTGTCTCATCTATCTTATGTAGAAATACCAAAAACGTTCGTTTCCCACTTGGGGAAAATGGGAGATTTGGATGTGAGTAACCTCAAAAGTCTCTTCTCTGCAAATACCAAGTTCTTGAATATGCACATCACTGGCGTGTTGAAATTGTTACCTTGAATCTTTGTTTTTTTATCAAAAAAAGTGATCTGTTGGGTTTTGATACGCAATGAAATGGGTTTTACAAAAATATCTCAATATTGGAATGACTTACAAGGGCCGTATTCCCCTCACAGCATCACTTGCACTAAAAGGCTGACGCAAACAAACAGCTCCACAAAAACTCTTGACGAAACTGCCTTGGGAGTTCTGAGTTAATGTTTGTCCCTTGTTTCAAAAAGCTTCCAGGGCAGAACAGGTCTACTGTATAACATACTTGTCTCCCCATGGGGAGTCCGGGGCAGGTCTACTGTATAACAAACTTGTCTCCCAACGGGGAGTCCGAGGCAGGTCTACTGTATAACAAACTTGTCTCCCTACGGGGAGTCCGGGGCAGGTCTACTGTATCACATACTTGTCTCCCCATGGGGAGTCCGGGGCAGGTCTACTGTATAACAAACTTGTCTCCCGATGGGAAGTCAGAGACAGGTCTACAGTATCACAGACTTGTCTCCCCATGGGGAGTCCGGGGCAGGAGAGGTCTACTGTATCACATACTTGTCTCCCCATGGGGAGTCCGGGACAGGACAGGTCTACAGTATCCCATACTTGTCTCCCCATGGGGAGTCCGGGACAGGACAGGTCTACAGTATCACATACTTGTCTCCCCATGGGGAGTCCGGGACAGGACAGGTCTACAGTATCACATACTTGTCTCCCCATGGGGAGTCTGGGACAGGACAGGTCTACAGTATCACATACTTGTCTCCCCATGGGGAGTCTGGGACAGGACAGGTCTACAGTATCACATACTTGTCTCCCCATGAAGAGTCCCGGACAGGACAGGTCTACTGTATACACCAGAACTCATCCTTTTGGGACACCAGAGTTCATCCTTATGGGACACGAGAACTAATCCTTATGGGACACCAGAACTCATCCTTATGGGACACCAGAGCTCATCCTTATGGGACACCAGAACTCATCCTTATGGGACACCAGAGTTCATCCTTATGGGACACCAGAGCTCATCCTTATGGGACACCAGAACTCATCCTTATAGGACACCAGAAATCATCCTTATTGGACACCAGAGTTCATCCTTATGGGACACCAGAGTTCATCCTTATGGGACACCAGAACTAATCCTTATTGGACACCAGAACTCATCCTTATGGGACACCAGAGCTCATCCTTATAGGACACCAGAGCTCATCCTTATGGGACACCAGAACTCATCCTTATGGGGAACACCAGAGCTCATCCTTATGGGACACCATAGTTCATCCTTATGGGACACCAGAGTTCATCCTTATGGGACACCAGAACTCATCCTTAGGGGACAACAGAACTCTTCCTTATTGGACACCATAGCTCATCCTTATGGGACACCAGAGTTCATCCTTATGGGACAACAGAACTCATCCTTATTGGACACCAGAGTTCATCCTTATGGGACACCAGAACTCATCCTTATGGGACACCAGAGCTCATCCTTAAGGACACCAGAGCTCATCCTTATGGGACAACAGAACTCATCCTTATGACACCAGAACTCATCCTTATGGGACACCAGAGTTCATCCTTATGGGACAACAGAACTCATCCTTAGGGGACAACAGAACTCATCCTTAGGGGACAACAGAACTCATCCTTAGGGAACACCAGAGCTTATCCTTATGGGACACCGGAGTTCATCCTTATGGGACAACAGAACTCATCCTTATGACACCAGAACTCATCCTTATGGGACACCATAGCTCAACCTTATGGGACACCATAGCTCAACCTTATGGGACACCATAGCTCAACCTTATGGCACACCAAAAATCAGGTCACGCAGTGTGACTGAGTAATGAACAAGCAACTACGCTACCATGCAAACAACAATTCAGAACATGAGTTTCAAGTTTGAAAAGAATACCACAATTTTTGTTAAAAACATATCAAGAAGTTTATCAACTACGCCAATGTGCAAACGAGGCTGAACTTGAACTGTATGTTTGAAAAGCATATCACAACCAAAGAAGAAATAGGCAAGTTTATCAGTAAGTCGTGTGACCTATCATGCTATGGATATTAATCAACAATTTAAGTGCAAGCAACGATGATATAATGAGAAACAGCGGCATATTGACTCTATGTCCAGAGATATGCAGCACAGGGTACAGGCGAGGCAGCGAGCAGTCCACACATCACAGCTTCATAACCGCCACGTGTTGACATATTTATCTTATTGATGATGTTTGTATTTGCAACCACTACCCTGGTACTCAATGCGCTGTCCCATCACGGTCACAATAACAACCAAGCACAGAGACTTTTATACAAGCATGTGTGTCATACTTCGTCCTCGCTTGGGAAATACAGGAGTTCTTACACGAGTTTCGTAAAATCTCCCTATAGGGAGTCCTGGACAGGACAGGTCTACAGTATCACATACTTGTCTCCCTATAGGGAGTCCGGGACAGGACAGGTCTACAGTATCACATACTTGTCTCCCCATGGGGAGTCCGGGACAGGACAGGTCTACAGTATCACATACTTGTCCACCATTTGGACACCAGAAGTCATTCTTATGGGACACCAGAACTCATCCTTATGGGACACCAGAACTCATCCTTATGGGGAACACCAGAGCTCATCCTTATGGGACACCAGAGCTCATCCTTATGGGACACCAGAACTCATCCTTATGGGACATCAGAGCTCATCCTTATGGGACATCAGAGCTCATCCTTATGGGACACCAGAACTCATCCTTATGGGACACCAGAGCTCATCCTTATGGGACACCAGAGCTCATCCTTATGGGACACCAGAACTCATCCTTATGGGACACCAGAGCTCATCCTTATGGGACACCAGAGCTCATCCTTATAACACCAGAACTCATCCTTATGGGACACCAGAGCTCATCCTTATGGGACACCAGAACTCATCCTTATGGGACAACAGAAGTCATCCTTATGGGACAACAGAACTCATCCTTATAACACCAGAACTCATCCTTATGGGACACCAGAACTCATCCTTATGGGGAACACCAGAGCTCATCCTTATGGGACACCAGAGCTCATCCTTATGGGACACCAGAACTCATCCTTATGGGACATCAGAGCTCATCCTTATGGGACATCAGAGCTCATCCTTATTGGACACCAGAACTCATCCTTATGGGACATCAGAGCTCATCCTTATGGGACACCAGAGCTCATCCTTATGGGACAACAGAACTCATCCTTATGGGACACCAGAACTCATCCTTATGGGACACCAGAGCTCATCCTTATTGGACACCAGAACTCATCCTTATGGGACACCAGAACTCATCCTTATGGGACACCATAAAATCAGTTGTGAGACACATGCGAGTGTAATAATTTCTTTATTACCCATTATTTCTTAATCCCCTTTGGAATAAATACACTAATCACAACTGCCTCCTTAGAAAACCACAAATGTCGATTGACATACATAATCCTCAGCAATGATGTGTTTCTGGTGTAACGTCATTCCAACCTTCCATCACAATAAAATTTCAATGATGTCAACAATGCTATCTGGATGATGTAAAGAATGCTCTGGTAATCATGAAATATTTGCCCTACTGCACATACAATTTTTATGAACTCGGTTATTTTTAACCCTATGAGTAATAAAAGATTTTATTAAAGAAATACTTGACTGCTTCCACCATTCCTACAATACCGAAAAGAGGATGAAATATATTTTGATAAACACTAAATTTTTAGTCCACACAATGCAAACTCCACATGTCTTTTCCACATAACAAACTGTGAAAACAAAAGATTAAAGTGCAAGAATAAGATGGGTTGATCGCTGCTTTTAACAGTATTCCAGTTATATCGCGGCGTGTCAGCTGAATGTGGGAGGAAAGCCCAAAGTGATGCTGGTCTCAGATGTTTACCATTTCAGTGAAACCCACAAGCACAGGTATGGTGCTGACAAACCTAGAAACATAATCAGGGCCAAATGGGATTCAAAATCATGATCATAGGTTTCCTGAGTGTCCAAGGAATGCTTCTCTGAACGGTGAATTGCGGTGCCTTTGTCCACTGGGCCTCCTGGGCCCCCTAAACTGCAAGAACTGCTGAGCTCATTTTGCTCAGATGGCAAAACCGTTAGAATAATAACCTATATTGCACATATTTCCACACCAATCAGGAGCATGCTCAAAGCACTATTATTACGTCACTGGATCAGTGTGTGCTCAAGAATCATTCTCGGCTCCCTGGGGAGTATACAACCCAAGCTGCCTGTTAGGCACCAGAACAGTAGCTGTAAGGGAGGTGTTGGGTATCAAGGTAAAGTGTTTCACAGGGTTTTACAGGGTGTCACTGGGTTCACAGTATTCACTGTTACCCATGTTCACTCTCAGAGACAAATTGC